GTTTCCTTCCTGGCAATTCTCTTTTCTTTCAGCTAGTAAGATGGAAATGATGGCAGATGACTATGATACAAGAGATATCTTGAGGCCTTTGGTGTTCCGTCTCCATGAGAGTGCCCCTGCAATAGTCCGTGAGGTTTTACTGGAACGCGGCTGGACTGAATTTGACAAAAAGGAGCAAGATGACGCAGACTGGAACCTGTACTGGCGGAACTCACCTTTCCGTATGACAGACCACCATGGCATTAAACCATGGCAGAGGCTCAACCACTACCCAGAAGCTGTCCGGATCACCAGAAAAGACTATTTGGCAAGGCATCTGAAACGTATGAAAGGAGCGTATGGATCAGCTCTGTATGAATTTAGTCCAGTGGCATTCATCATGCCCAATGACTATGTCAAATTTATAGCAGAATACAGCAAGGAGAGACAGTCAGTAGGCAGAAGACCTAGCTACTGGATTTGCAAGCCTGTGGATCTTTCCCGTGGAAGGGGCATACTCATTTTCCAAGACATTAAAGACTTAGTATATGACTGTACAGTCATTGTGCAGAAGTACATTAGCAACCCCTTGCTCATTTCAGGGTATAAACTGGATCTGCGCCTCTATGTTTGTGTCACCAGTTTTTGCCCCCTCACCATTTACGTTTACGAAGAAGGACTGGTGAGGTTTGCCACTGAAAAGTTTGACCTTGGTTCTCTGGACAACGTCTATGCCCACCTAACAAACACCAGCATCAACAAATACGGAGCTTCATATAAAAAATATAAAGAAGGGATAGGCTGTGGCTGCAAATGGACGTTCAGCAAATTTCGTTCTTACCTTCGAATATTTGGGGTTGATGACACGCTCCTCTGGCAGAAGATCAATAACATAGTGATTCTCACCCTGCTTGCTGTAACCCCCTTACCAGTGGCTTCCAATTGCTTTGAGCTCTTTGGCTTTGACATCCTGATTGATGACAAATTCAAGCCGTGGCTTTTAGAAGTCAACTACAATCCGGCCTTGTGTTTAGACTGTTCCATTGATGACACTGTGAAAAGAAAACTTCTTCACGATATTGTTGAACTGCTGAACTACAAACAGATTGACACTTTCAGGAGAAACCAAGTGGCCGGGACAAAGGCTGGCAGAAGGCGGGTGCCCTGGAGCACAGCTGGTAAGAGTGCCAGCAGGGAGGCTCCTGGCTTACCCACTTGCCGAAAAATGGCTAAGTGTACTTCTGCTGCTTCTGTACAACCTGTCCTGCAGGCTGCAAGAGGATCAATTCGTAAGGTGGCTACCCTGACCAAGAAAACTGCCAGAGCACATCCAAGAAAAACACTGACTTCCCAGCTGCGGGAAAGGATGAACATGCCAAAAATACCCTCCCAAGCAAAAGCTGAAGCTAAAAAGAAACAGCTCCCAGGAGCTGAGCATTCTCCATGCAGGTCTGCCCAACTCAGCCACTGGTTGCCTACACCTGACTTCTGCAACTACGAGTTAACCACACGCCCCTATTTCCTCTCTGATAAAGACCAGAGGCCTATCCCCCGGGTAGGAGATTTTATCCTTATTTTTCCTTTCAATGAAGCTGCACTTCAAGCTTCCAGGGATGGGACAGATGTAAAGAGCATCATAAAGGAAATAAACAAATTGGTGAGCCAACAGTTACCATCAAAACAACAGAACAGATAGAAAAGGGTGGGCTATTTAACTTCTGTGTAACTTCGTGATGTTATGTTATATAGACAGATCATAAATGACAACTTTAGCTTGAAGGAGGTAGATGTACACTAAAATTGTATTAGAAAGAGAGATATCTCAAAAAATACACAATTTAAAAATTGTAATTTAGCAATTGCCACAAGAGATTATTTTTAAAAATTAAAGTCCTTTCCAATTTTTAAAGTAATTCTTGCAATATTAAAGTAATCCCAGAATAAAAATGGAGAATTGCATTTCTCAAAACATCCTCAGAAATGCCAGTCTTTGTTTATTCTTTTTTCTCAGCAATCTTTGCTTCTTTTCCTGACTACGGGGGCTTTATGACTTGACGAACTGGTCACTTTACACCAGGGAGCATTCAACATGCACTCAGTTCACAAAGGTGCAGGTAACATGAATGACACAAAACTATCATGTTTTCGAAGAATCCGGTGAGCTTCCTGACATTCATTTCCAGGAATTAATTTTGCATATTAGAAAACAACAGTATGAAATAACTTTCATTTTATGACCAGTAGGATTCTGTAGACATTCTTATGGAAAGTAATTTTTTAAAAAATCTATATACTGCTCCAGTGTTTTGTTTCGGATAAAATCGTAATAAAGAAATAATTAGGCTTCCCAAGGTAACAGAGGGCAGAATATAAACTGCAAATATCACGTTCAGAAGATTGTATCAAACCTCTCTCTCACAGACTCTGCATTAGCCTCCTGATGAGTACAATGGTTAGGCAGCTTTGTTTTGCTTGCAGTAAAGCCCTCCAGGACAAAAAACATAGTAGAATAGGTATGTGTACTGCTACAATTTAAGTACATGTGCAGTCACACTTAAATTGGATTATTTGTGTTCCTGCAACTATAGCTGGTAGAGCCATTACTGCTTCTGGTTAACTAATGCGAGTGGCAGGTAGAGGAGACGTGGTGTGAGAATCAGCCTGAGAAGAATAATGATGTGGCATGTGTCGTAACTGGTCTGTGGAGGACTCCGAGTTAGAACATACCTGACAGAGCTTGTCATTTACATAGGTGTTTTTCTGTCTCCTCCTTTTCAAACCAAATGTGTGCCCCTTATTTCAATAATCCCTTTGCTATTATACTATAACATATTACTTGAAAAACATGTCTTGGTAAAAATGGTGGCCGCACACTGGTTGACTAAAGTACTGTGAAATCCTCAGTGGTTTCACCCTTTGATTTCACCAACCAAAGTAAGTTTTGCCGTTGGTTTGCCAGAAAGCAGCACCAGGCCCATACCTAGGTACCATTACAGCCTCCCTGTAAGGAGGAGCTAACAAGGTGAATGCACACATCAGCAAGGTGTTTGCACACATGCATGTCTGCTTGCACACAGTTTTAGAGACTGACTTGCGCATTTTGCAGGCCTAATTATTCTAGAATCAGAATGCTTCCTGCAAGTACAGTAGAGAGTGCTTAATGAAGCAAGGGGCAAGCATATAAACAAAATTGTTCCTTATTTAATTTACAATTAGAAGGGATTATATATACGGGTTATTGAATCGCAAATGGTGATTTAAGGCTAAAAGCTGCAAACCAAGCCTGTTTTCTGTATTACTATAGAAACAAAGAGAATGTCAGCATATTAACTGGAGAACAGGGACCTTTTGTTAAAAGGAATCCCAGGAATAAAAATAGTGTTCCTTTACGAAACATTAGTATCACATCTAGTTTCCCAGCCAAACTGAAAACATTAATCACATTCACTTTTTTCGTGATGCTTGAGTAAAAAAAACAACATAGATTTGTTTTAATGATCATAAGGCAGCACTGAACTGAAATTCTTAGTGAAACACATGGAAAAGAATGATCTCTTGGATTTCTTTTAATTAGAGTTTCCTCTTACAAAACACATAAAATATATTAAATATTTCAGGAGTGAAAAGCACAGGTTTATAAATTGTTCCCTCCTTATACGGGAGTAAAGGAAAAACAATTCAATTTTATTATCATACCAGCTAACACCAAACTGCGTGGATGTTCAGGGCATCGTAATTAAATTCATAAACTGCAGCATGTTTATGATCAATATTAGGAACACTTCTTGCTGTGTTCAATCTATTTCTGCCAAAGGTGCTCGGTAATTTGAATGGTGATTTGTCGACAGTCTGACCCACTAGAAACTGAAGAGAAGAAAGAGCAATTCCATAATCTTGCCGTTAGTTTGCACTTAGGCGTGAGAAAAGGCTCAAGCAGCATGCTATGAAAGTGTGTGTGTTGCTACAGGAATTTAAAGGGCATGAGGAAATAATTGGTCTTCTCAGTCAATGGCCAGGTAATGAGCTGAGCTCTACAGGGGAAATGCTTCAGTGCTTTGGAAAAATTCAAGACAGGTGATGGACAGGCAGTCTACGGGGAAGACAGTTGAAAGCAGCATCTGATAAATGATTAATCCCCCTAGGTATCAAGTGCAATCCAAAGAGCCTTGAAGCTGGAGAGATTCACCGACCAGAAATATTTTTCCACTACTGGAAGAATAAAGGCAGTAGTGGGAGAGGTTAGTTCAAAAACAAAGCAATACAGAGCAGGTCTGAGGAAAGACTGCTGGAGGAAAAAGAAAGGGCTGTTTCATCCAGAATAATGACCAGGATGGAATAAACATTACATTTTGTCTTCAAATGCACGAGACAGAGTTCTTAGATTATGATCATATAATTGTTGAATTATTTACATTGTAAGAGACATCCAGAGTTGTGACTGTTTACTGAACTCCTGCTCAGGTTTTGGTCTAATGTACAGCTCATGATAAGGCCTGATGCGTGCTGGGATCTTCTGCTCCAAAGAACCCAACCAAACCGAAAACATTAATCACTTCCACATTTATTGTGATGGTTAACTGAGGAAAAAAAAACAAAACATAGATTTGTTTTAGTCAGCATAAGGCAGTACTAAACTGAAATTCAAAAAGCTTTGTAGATTTGAGGTTCTTATGCCACGCTCCTTAATTGTAGTCACTTTTGTAACTAACTAGCAGACAAACAAGGGAAAGTATGACCAGTGTCATGAAACAAACACTTCAGTGAGAAGTACTATGGGCATTTATTTTCATGTTACATACACAAAGAGAGCATGACTGCATTTCCTTCAAGTCTCGCTCAAGGGACATTTCATTTGGGTAAAGTTATTCCAAACTGAGCACCAGTCACCAAACCAAAGTAAATTTCAGCCCTGCGGATCCATCCATTCATTTTCACAAGGCTTAAATCTTCCTAACAGTTCTGACGTGCCAGGAAAATGGGTTGAGCTACTTACGTACACTGCAGCCCTTTGAGGTGAGGAATCACTTCTTGTCTAGAATGATGTTACCCTCCTCATCTTTGATTCGAACTCGTCCAGTAGAGTACTTGGTTTCTTGTCTGCCATTGCAGTACACAGTTTTTACAGTGCCATCTGGGTACTCCCGCCTCTTGAACTGCGCAGTGTGAACCTCCTTTTGGCCGTTACTGAATACCACTATTTTATCTCCATTCCTGAAAGAAATAGCAATGAATGAAGTGATATGAAGGCACTATCTGTTATTAACCTATCTCACCAAGCTGTCTGATGTGACACAACAGAAGTGGAGAATAATGTCAATTGACAACTTTCTCAGGTTATAATTCACCTCAGAATTTACATGGGATAGCATTAGAGATCTGATCTCACAGTAAGATTTCAATACAAAGGTGCTTCAGTACATAGTATAGTACCTAATGGATGGTGGAATCTGCATTTTACGTGACTTCTTCGTGCAGGGATCTCAACGCATTTTGCAAGCAGGAAATCTATTTTACAACGGGATCCTCCCTGAACCCAGAAGAGGCATGTGTAAGAAAGTCCTGTTGTTATTTTTCCTCGTTTTACATGGAGGAATAGAGAGATAATACATGAAATGCCTTGCCCAAGATCAGAAAGGGAGCCAAAGAGCTAGGAAGAGACAGGAGTCCTCATCCTGAGTCCTTTAGTACCCACGTTGTTAACACAGACAACTGGTGATCTCCCAGCAGCCCTGGCCAATGTAAAGTTACATGGAACTAAGTGAGGAATATTTCACAGTCACTTTGCCACTGATAAATGGTCATCTACTATCCAAGGTGGAAGTTAACAATTTTCAGGGCCTCATTGTAGCAAAACCCTCATTATCTTACAAATTCTTTCCCTTTTCATCTAGAACTTTCCCAGCCATGCAGAATCCAACCACAGTTTTAAAAGTCAGTGTCACTGTAGCTGTGCCCAATGCCTGGTTCCTGTCATTAACATGAGACTTACTTTTCTACTTTTACTACTGTACCATCTGGGAAAAAAGTTTCCTTGAATCCATCACTATAGAGGCATTTCACTGTGTGATCTGGGAACACAATTTCTTGTGTGCCATCAGGATAATGTTTTTCTGTGGAAAAGAAGATGTAAAAAGTCTGTCTACTAGTCTTTCATGTTGCTTTACACAGAGCTAGATCAGATTTTTTTTTGGACATTGTAGTGAGGATGGAAATGATATCCAGTGTACTGCTAAAGAAATTAAAGAATCAAATGATCAGATAATCAAAATTAGAAGAGATGCATTTACAATCCATTATTATCTTTGCTTTGTAGGAGGAAACTGAGCACTGAAGTGATGGAACATACTGGAAGTCAAATGCAAGGACAATGCAAATTGAGAAGAAAAGACCCAATCTGCTGGAGTCAGAGTCAGATGACACTTTCATAACAGAAACTTTCCTGCACATGTAGTTCACATTTATGAGCTCTTGCATACCTATCTGATTATTGGGAAACTGCAGCACCTCCAGGCCATCTGGATAAGCAGTGTGGGTTGTCTGTGCATCTGCATAATAATAAATCTGGAAAGAGAGTGAAGTGTTTGCAGCATGTTCACAATATTTGCATGAACAGTTTCAACCATAATAATGTGCTTAAAAATAAGCCATCTTAAAACAGTCATTTCAAGGTCATTTTCTGTATCTGCCATCTATAAAAGTAGCTATGTTTGCATTTCTGTTCCTTCCTCTCATTCACCCTCCTCCTCATGGCTGTGTCTGATGTTGCTACTTTCATCTCTGTAGCATACAAGACAACAGCACACATGAAAGTCATCATCCCATCTCTTTGCTTTGGCTCCCATCCATGCACTATTAATTTAAAATGGTCCCGCTGCTGCCAAGGCCTCACTTATTTCTACTCTAGCTCACATTATTATTAACTGTTTATATTTACATAATGCCAAGAGGGAAGAACCCCCTGTGCTACCTACCCTTCAAATGTATAAAAAACAGTCCTTGCTTTACATGGCTGTCCCTGCCCTTTGCCTTCTTTCAGTCTCCTTTAATCTGCTTGGCCAACTCTCCATTTGTTCCTTTGACTGCTACCTTCATCTATTTCCACTTTTGTCCTTGTAGATGACGCAGTCTCACCACTCAGGGTTGGTAAACCAACACCCTTCCTCATCAGTTTCTCCCAGAACTGATAGAACACCTTGTTGGAAAATCGCTTAATCATTTAATTTTCCTTAAAGAAAAAAAATGTTACACACCACTCTCTGATCTGGCATGATCTTCTTTACATCTCCATTGAAAAAGCTAATTGTAGTCATCCTTTTATCAGCACTGATCTCTTTTTTAGTACCATTGTGGAAAGTGATGATTCGACGTCCATCAGTAAGCACCTCTTCTACCTTCAAACACATAGATCATCTAATGTAAATGAAGTTAAAGGAAATGAGTAACATCACACTGCCTTACAATTAAATTGGAGCTTGAAATAAGTCACGCTATGCCTTGGTATTTCAAAAGATATCTCTGCAGCACAGGTACATTATTTTTATCATAGAATCATAGAATTGTTTAGGTTGGAAAAGACCTTTAAGATCATCAAGTCCAACCGTTAACCTCGCGTTGCCAAGTCCACCACTAAACCATGTCCTCAAGCACCACATCTACACATCTTTTACATACCTTCAGGGATGGGGACTCAACCACTTCCCTGGGCAGCCGGTTCCAATGCTTGACAACCCTTTCAGTGAAGAAATTTTTCCTAATATCCAATCTAAACCTCCCCTGGCGCAGCTTGAGGCCATTTCCTCTTGTCCTATCGCTTGTTACTGGGGAGAAGAGACTGACCCACCTCGCTACAGCCTCCTTTCAGGTAGTTGTAGAGAGCAATAAGGTCTCCCCTCAGCCTCCTCTTCTCCAGGCTAAACAACCCCAGTTCCCTCAGCTGCTCCTCACAAGACTTGTGCTCTAGACCCTTCACCAGCTTCGTTGCCCTTCTTTGGACACGCTCCAGCACCTCGATGTCCTTCTTGTAGTGAGGGCCCCAAAACTGAACACAGTACTTGAGGTGCGGCCTCAGCAGTGCTGAGTGCAAGGGCACTATCATCTCCCTGGTCCTGGTGGCCACACTATTCCTGATACAAGCCAGGATGCTATTGGCCTTCTTGGCCACCTGGACACACTGCTGGTTCATATTCAGCTGGCTGTCAACCAATATCCCCAGGTCCTTTTCTGCCAGGCAGCTCTCCAGCCACTCTTCCCAAGCCTGTAGCATTGCATGGGGTTGTGAGCCAAGTGCAGGACCCAGCACTGAGCCTTGTTGAACCTCATAGAATTGGCCTCAGCCCAACGATCCAGCCTGTCCAGATCCCTCTGTAGAGCCTTCCTACAGCCTCCAGCAGATCAACACTCCTGCCCAACTTGGTGTCATCTGCAAACTTACTGAGGGTGCACTCGATCCCCTCGTCCAGATCATTGATAAAGATATTAAACAGAACTGGCCACAATACTGAGCCCTGGGGAATACCACTTGTGACCGGCCACCAACTGGATTTAACTCCATTCACCATGTGTGTGAAAGAGACCAAAAGTAATTTTCTTTTCACAAAATGAGCTCACTTCTAGCACTCAGCCCGAGTTCCCACCCCACCACCTTGTTTTTCTGTTAAGTGAGGTAAGGCACACAGCCCTGTGGCAATAGGGAAGCCATTCAGGTTTTTCCTTGACCAGTCTCAGTGAGTTACTCTCTGTACTAATTTCATATACGCTGGTACACATTCCACACAAGTCACTCAAGAGACACTGGTTCTGGACTGTGTGAACCAAAATGATTGAACTTGATGTATTAACACAGTCTGCTGACATGCGTTAACAACCATTTTATTCCAAATAACATAAGCCTGTATGGACATTCAGTACTACAGAATTAAATGTGGCTGCATGCAGTGATCTGCAAAATTGCTGAAGACTTCTTAACAACATAGGGCAATAGTGTCATCAGTGTGCTCTTCTACAAACAGTACATTGGTCAAAGAAGACTTCATACCTAGCATAGCCTCTGGTTAATCAATTTTCCTGGAATTGCTGTGGCAGCTGGTTCTGTTCAGCATATATCAAATCATATTATATAATTCATTTGGTGAAGTCTAAGGAAGAAGACAACCAGAAGGTGCACTATAGCTTTGCCATATGGTTCCAATTTTATCAGACTCTCCACAAAAAGGGAATACCTCCCAACCAAAAAAAAAAAACCAAACAAACCTCTCTCTCGTTGCACAAGAAAGTCCAGCCCACCACTCAATTTTATGAATAAAATCCAGTGGTAAAAATGTCAGAGTGAACTTTTTTCACAATTATTTTTCTTTTGAGGATCAAAACAATGGATATTGTATTTTCTGTTTCTAAAAGAGGGAATTGTGATTGGTAGAAGCTTTCACAGAGGCCATCTCAGCATTAGATATAAAAGAATTGGCATCTCAAACCAGTATTCCCTCAACAACTGTTATACTGCAAAAGCCATTTCTATGACTGCTCACTGGAAGGTATCATTAACCAATGCCTGTATTGGCAGCATGAGAAGAGAAGCCCAGAACTGAACAAACACAGAAACTGAATTACTTACTGTCTTAACTTTATCTAGCCAAAAACCTTACCCAGAATTGACAACTGTAATTGGGCATAGATTACCCTCAGTCAATATCAAGGGAAGTTTTTAACAGGATAAGCCTGCTTTGAGTAGTGTAATTGAAGAGACATCTGGGACTGAGGTCAGATCTGGCCCAGATGAGAAGCAACAGTGTTGGAAACAGTGCTTGTCTATCAGCAGTGAAACTAGCACCAGCTCACTTGGTCACCTTGTTGGCAACCTTTCCCAACAGCAATGCACCAAATTGCCAATGCATAAACTCATCTATGGAATCAGCCTTTCAAGATCATTCCTGAGGTGCTGTGCAGGAAAGGTGACATGGCCACTCAGGAACGAATTATACAGTTTGGTGGCAAGGAGTGCAGGGACACAATGGGAAGCTAGCAAGAATTGCCCGCTCATGCCCTCCTGGAAGACAGGGATTTCCAGAAAAGGGGCAAAATCATCTGCCACACTGAGCTGTGTGCCTCAGGACAAGGGGCAGCTGGAAGCAATCTCGAGATGCAACTGGGGAATTGCTGGGGATTTTGACAGGTGGCTTGAGCAAACCAGACAGGCTGCATCCAGCACAACTCCACTGACGCTACTCCAGGTGTAGCCAGCTGTGTATAACAAAAGACTTCTCCACAAGTGGTGTCCAGCTGGCACAGCTTACTGCCATTAGATTCACCTCCCAGGAAAGAGAAAAATGGCCTTGAATCTTGCACTACAAAACACCATCACTACCCCACTAGCACGTTTTCATTTCTAATGGTAAGCATATCATTCCTCCCAGCCCACAAATGAGGTAGCTGAAACAGAAAGGATGTGCTGAAAGTCATAGAGCAAATCCATGTGGGAGATAAGAATGTAATTTGGTTACTTGATATCCAGCCCATTAGCTATACATATTTCCTACCATTCATGGTGTGAACTTTACACTTCAGCTCTCCTTTAAGGAACAGGCACTAAATTGGAGACATAGTTGTCTCTGGCTACTTGAAGCAGTGATTCCCATCTATACTGCAGTCCTATCAGTGATCTCTTCAAGTATTTTTGCATCCTATTTTATCTCACCTTTCCATCACGATACTCTATTTTTTCTTGCACCTCTTCCTCACTTTTTCGTCTTTCTTGATGTAATACTGGTCTTCTAGATAATATTGATTTTGGAGGCTATATTATGAAAAGATGACAGTCAGTGTTATATAAACAGAAATGTTTTTAACGTATTTTCATTAATTTTAATCAGCTGTGCAAAAAACATATTTACTTTCACACACACAGAGGAAATCTGCCCTTCTTTCTGGTATTGCCTTGCATTTGTAATGAATTTTGATGTTTTAGTCATAATTAGAAAAGTTGCACATTAACTCCAATCAACTTCAGTTTGCAAAGTAAAAGATTGCATAGAGAAAGTCCAAAAACGAGGGGACAAGAGTGCATTCTGGTGAAACTACACATAGGAAATGGAGAGAATGAAAACAAGAACAAAGAACAGAACTATCTCTGAATACTGGGTTACTGATTTGCAAAGAAAAGTACCTGTATTAGCTAGATCCACTCTTCCAAAACAAATTACATGGTTCTTAGTTGTAGGTAATGCTAACTCTGTAACTAAGGGCTATTCACGATGTTACACATCCAATTTACCATTACAGTGAGTGCTCTTTGCACTGTCTGGCAGCATAAAGGAGCATTAAGTTAACTGACATCTGGCACATAGCATTCAGAACAGTTACTAACTAATGTTAATTACACTTTGAAGATGCGATGTATTTTGAATTGTAGGATCCAAAGGAACAAGGAGTACTGCTCCCGACAGGGCAATGATATGCTCCAGTAAAAAGCTGTAAACATAGTGCTTGAAGTTGCCAGATCCATCCCTAAAGCTCTGTGTCCGTTGCATAGCATAGGAAATGGGAACAGAAGATTTTCTTTTTCTTGGTGTGTTTTATTTCAGTTCACAAATGGAAAGAAGACAGTTGCTGATCATAGCCAGAACTGTAAGTTGCTCAAACCTTTGCTTCAGCATCCAGAAAAGCAGGAGAACTGTCTGTAGGTACTTTGTTGTCATGTGTAGTTATGCCACTTCCCCGGTGTGGGGTCACAAAAGCCACTTTATTCTGAGGTTTTAGCAATTTTTCTGTCTTTTTAAGGTTAAGAGTCTCTTCTTCCTAAGCCAAAATTAAAATGTTAATTAGCAACATAAATCTATTAATGTCCAACAGTTTTGCAGGAATATCTTGATAAAGAAATCTACTATATTACTTCTAAGTCATTGTAGTATTGTTTTAAAAGGTGTACCTTGCATGAGTAGAGGCAAGAAAATAAAGCCAGGAGAGTATTGTTCCCAGCTAAATGGGAGTTAGTATGCTGTATATGAAAACTAAGATCACAGACTTGCTGAATTATTTTATAGAGTTACATGGTGAAATACCTCTGTTTCTTCATTGTTACTGCAGAGTGCAAAGCTGCAAGTGTTGTTGCTGTGGTTATGTGAGAGGGGCATCTCTTCTGCACTATCTGAAATGGGCAAAGACCTGCCTATGAGAAAAAGCAAGGTAAAAGAAGTCACTGAAAGCATATGACAATTGCTGAATCACATTTCCGTACCTATCTCAGAAGGTCTTTTTTAGAGATGCTAGCTCTCAGATTCTTGTAACACATTGCTTCTTATACTGATAATGTTTGCTAACAGCTCGCCCATCCTCCTGAAGGTGCTTTGTCCTGGGTCAAAGAGAAGTGCAGACCACAGCTGTTCTTCACCTTCTGGGCTTCCAGGACAACAAAATGAGTAAATTTGCAGGCAACAGCACAATCTGTTCTCCCTCTCTTGTAAAAGATAAATTTTATAATTCTTCTAAGACTCATAGGAGAGTTTTAGTGACAATGTATTTCCTGTGAGCCAAGAACTGGGGACCAGTGTCTCCGAGTCATTTGCAGACCACTCTAAGCAGGCAGAAAGTTCCCACAAATCTTACCTTTTACATAGGAACATGAGTTAGACTCTTTAAAGCCACTCAGATGCAAGACAGCTCCAGGTGATTTCCTATCATCTGTTCTTCTCCCAGTAGGAGAGAGTTGAGGTACAACCTAAAGCAAAATGGAGAATCTATGACATACAGTCATACTTCAGTGGAACATGGGAGCTATCAGTGACATGGCGGGAGTACACTTCCCCTTCCTAGGAGTTCAGCTACCTGTGCACTCCACCAGCTCGCTGAGATGGTGCAGGTGCCTAATCTTGATTCAGACTGTTGTGAAGAAAGAGATGTGGGTGAAAAAGCTGGAAGAAGCCTGAGACAGAACTGCCCTCCCTCCTTTTCCTGGGAGCTGCATTTCAGCTGTGGCTCTCGCACTTGGTCCTTGTTGGGTTGCATGGTAGTCATGCCTGTGCCTGGCCATGCACCTTATTGATTCAAACCCCAGCCCTGACCCAGGGGCTGACTTCCTGGTGTAACCCCAGACCTGCCTCATCACGATGGGCTTTGACGACTGGGATTCTGGCCTGATCCTGACTCCCATCCCCAGCCTGCCCTTCTCCCTGGCTGGGGCAGTGGGAGCCACTGGGAGTGGCCCCCAGTGGCCTGAGGGAGCCACTGGCCCGTGCGATGCCCTGATGCTTGGTGCATGTGATCAGCTCTGAACTTTTTCTGAGGGCAGGGGGGACAGGTTTCAAAGCATTCACACATGCTCTGGCTTGCAGGTGCCTGAATTGCTCAATCTATGAACAGTCCCTGAACTAATTTCTGGCAAAACCCCTACAGTACCAGTGAAAGAAGACCAAGCAGCAGCTATGTGGGGATCATGATCCCGATCCAGCTTCTGAATAACACTGTAAAAAGAGAATAAAGACAGTCTAAATAGACCTTGCTACTGGCTTACTTTTTCTGGTTCAAAAGGTGTCAGTCTTCCCTGGTGAGATGTCCTCCTGCCAGTTGATGTTGTGCTTCTGCCAAGGGAGCAGTTGGGTGGTTTCTTTTCTTGGTGTTCCTTTGTCACCGATCTCAAAGGATCAGCCCTTTTCACAGAGCTTTTTATTGCCTAAAATGTTTGAATACATTTGTATTAAGTTTATATAAACATCTTCAAATAGCATTAAATATCATTCTACAATAGGTGCATCATTAAGTGTTTAAAACTTTTAGGAAAATATTTATTTTTGTACATGGACATACACACACACAGATACACATTTTCTACATAATTTGGGCATATACACACACACATACTTTATACATAATTCTCTATTTGGAGTCTTATGTTGCTTCCCACATTTCTCTCTACTTGGACAATGACACAAGTCAAGGGCAATTGTAGGTGCATAGTGCGAGGCCAACAGCTGCTCTCAGGCTCTCATCCCTCAGTCCAACCACCCTGCCAACAACAGGAAAGCTATCCCTCCCTGGGATACCACAACTGAGCTGACGCCAGTAAAATATATTGCGTGACAGTTCATTTTTCCTTGCCAGATGTCCACCCTTTTTACATTTTGCCCTCATACCTCTCCATCAATCAAGGCTGACACAAGCCTTGTAGGACCCTAAGACAGATGTGAGCCACCGAAGGGAAAAGAGATGTGAACAGTTTCAAACAAGCTATAGCAGATATTTAGACTGGAAAGATCACAGTTGCTCAAAACCACTTCCCCGGTTTTTCCTGGAGACCTTAGATCAGAGCACAGAGGAAACATACAATATTCCTGTATGACCACCGTGAGATATATGGGATTTACACAATGACTGACAGGGGTTGGCAGCTGCAAAGAAAACACAATGTTGGTATGGTGGGAAAACTGAGTTTGCACTCTTGCCTAGTCAAAACTTTGAAGGTATTGAACCTAACGTAGAAATGCCTGGCAGTATGAGACAAAGGCATAGTCTCGCTGCCCAGATTGCTGAAGTTGTCCCAGAAATGGCAAGGGATGATGTCTGTGTCTGTCAGAACTGATAACAGAAGAACCTCTAATGCATTGAGCTGGTGAATGACTAGGAGTGAGCACATGATGGTCAGAAACATTCAAAAAACCCATGGAAATGGTACCACGTACGCTGATTTTGAAATGTCTTGCACACTGGAGAGTGGCTGCTTGGGAAGGTGAGTGTAAGCAGTCCATGGAAAGAATATATTTGTCATCAGCTTCATTTGCCCAAGTACATGAGCTATTGCTCAAGGGACACGGGACTAGCAAAGCACAAACACGAGAAGACTGCAAAATTCCTGCTCTGACAACAGTCACTATGGCCGTTTTTCAGCAGCCGTAAAATTTTCTCCTTTTGATCAATGAAACTTAGGGGATCTGTTGTTGTGGATAGTAATCTCTCATTTGTATTAATAAATGACATTACAATTTAATGGATGTGCTTACAAGGAAGGAGCCAAGAAAGAAGCCCTATTGCAATACCAGAAAGCTGTAGAATTTTAAAAGGCTAAATCTTTTCCTCCAAGCATAAAGCGGTTCTGAGCAGGAGATAGACAACTGATTAGCTCTTTCAGACAAGGAAGCTAAAAGGTACAGAAGTTAATAGAATTAATTGTTAAAGGAATATGATTTCTATTTTAAATTTGGAGATGTTTTCTGCAGGCAGATTCTGTGAATATGCCTGAGTTCTCCAAATATAATAATGATGTCAAATACAAGTGAGTAGGCAAACTGTCAAAATATGCCTGGGACTTCAGCTCGAAACAAGTGGTATAGTACTGAAGACTTTTAAAAAAATATCTTTGATGAAGAGATATTATCTCAGAAATTGCAGACTGATAGAAGGAAAGAGCTCCTAAACCATCATTTTATTGATAAAGATCTCAAGACTGAAACTACCAAGTGATTTAAGAGAACTTGAAAAGCCATTGGTGCAGTTTCACAGCAGCTCAAGCCAATATTAACCCAGATTGCTGGAGTCCTACTCCTCTTCCTCTGTCCCCAGCCACATGTTTCCAGCCCCTCCTTTACATGGCACCAGCAACCACAGAGGGGGGTTGACCTGGCTGAGCGAGTAGAATCAGGCAAAAATGAACTGCTTTTTCCTGCCTGGTTAGTTTTGAGCCAGCTCACCATCATCAGAAAGTGCCAACGGGGCCACAGCAGCTCAAATGTTCATCAGCTTCAGCCAGACATGTGGCAGCATTTTTTTTGCTGTGATGTATTATAGAAAGAATGTTGCAATTAAAGCTTTTAAAGAACTACTTACATAAGACTTGTAAATATAAAATACTTTATGGCAAGTGTTTTAACTGCCTAGAAAGCCTGTTTTAGAAAAGGAGGCCTCACGAGCTATCTAAAAGCCACCTTTGAAAAGGATATTCAGAAGTCAACATTTACTGATGCAATGCAAAGGGTGATGCCTTAGCCAAGGGACAGAGACCTGTGTAGGCCTTAAAATTATGATGAGAAGAGGCACATGCTCATTCTTTTTAACTTAAAGAACTAACGAGCTCATGAAGTAGGATGTATTGGACTGCAAAAGTGAAGGAGCAAGATGAAGCCAGAGAGAAAGAAGAGGTGTTTCCATGAACATGGTGAGGTTTGCCTGCTATGTATCTAAAGAACAACCAATTCAGTTGAGGGAGCCTCCATGCAGAGTAGTGTTAGTAAAGGTACTCCAGGTACTTGCTATATATACACCATTGTAAAAGCTGCTGATTTCATTTTTTATGCATCACATAGATTACACATTTTAAAATTATACATTAACGTACCTATTTTTAAAGCAATAATGTCAGAGGAATCAAGACAGGCTTAGTGAATTATGTGTGGTCTCTGTTTTCATACAGATGGATGTCATTCTAAGAGATTGTTTCATAAATCATAGCAATCACAGTAACCCAGGCAACCACTACAATTTAGCTCTACACCTTTTAAGAGACCCAACTACTCAGTATTTGGGTTAATCACACATGGTGAGGTTCTTGATAAAGGTTCTCTCAATTCCATCACTTTCCTAAACAAAGTCATCAAATTATCTAAATAAATCTTTTTAGTTTTCTTCATTGGAAACACATGGATTGCCAGTAAATTCAGACCCTTGATACCTAGGGGTTGCAGGGTTGGAGGAAGAAATGGCGTCCCAACACGCACAAGGTAGATCAATTGTTTCCCATCCTCACTGAACTCAGAATAAAAATTAATCAGCTGATTAGCTGGTGACAACAAAAGAGGTGAACAGGTAAGCAGCAGAAGATGCCAGCTCATTTTGGATCTTTCTCATGGGAGCTAGCAAAGCACAGATTAAATAACTGTGAGTGACACTGATCCCGCTCTTGGCAAAAGGAGGGACCAGGTGACCTCTCAAGGTTCCTCCAGTCCTACAGATCTATGCTATCAGGCAGGGAGTGAAGAGCAGGAGGACGTGTTGTTACTCAGGGCCCACCTAGACCAGAGAAACTTCAAAAATATGATGTTCACCTTGATCTTCATGCTCAACGATAATCCTTTAAATTTTCTAATGAGCTTTTTCCTTCCAGATGTTAATACCTACAGTTCTTCGTCATTCTGATACAAATCAAATTGTTCTGGAAATCTCTCATTTGTCAGTTCCCATAAATAAGTATCTCTTATAACCTTCAAATATCTGAAAATTCATCCCCCCACCCCATGGAAATGAATGTATCTTTTCTCATAGAAATCACTGACATCTATCCACAGTCCCATGTCTGGCAGGAAACTGGCAACTAGTTCCTGCCAAATGTATAATGTGATGCATTCAGTAATCAGCTTGTTTGGAGAGAATTCACATTAATAAATATTAATAATTAATAAATATTAACCATTTTGGCTAACCTCTACATCTTTCAAACCATATTCTGAAAGAATCACTAATGATATGCAGATAAAATGGACATTTATCTTGCCTCACTAAAGCACAGCTTGAAGTGGCCACTTCCTTACCAACTAGGTCATGCTACAGTACAAACAGAAATTAATATAAATAAAAGTATTACAGGCAACCAGAATATGTTTTTTTCAGAGGTGTATATCTTGGATAGGTTGTTGTTGTTGTTTTTTTTTTTTCATAAAATCATGTCTTCCAAAAATCTGTGTCTTTAACCTGTACTGATCATTATTCAGACTTGCTCCCCAATTGTTTTTGTACATATCCTCAAATTCTATTAGCTTTGTCAGATGTTAAATGTTGTTTTGCCTTCTTGATTACAGCTGATGAAACTCGCCAGTCCTAGCTAGCTTTAACTTAAGTATCTTATACAGGTATACACATGTCCCTGTGGCATGCATCTCTACTTCTGTTACTCAAGGTTATCCCATTCACTTTGATGTGTTCCCATGCAGTTTCTCAATTCTGGACAGAAACAGCATGAGAATTTGTTTTATCTATATGCAAAATTTAGAACTGTCCAGATTCACAGAATCTTTGAGGAAAAGCATCCACCTGCTAGCAAGAGAGCTCAAATACAAAGGAAACACAGGTGAGTTACCATGGTCAGATCTATCTCTATGATACAGATTTTGGGCTTCTGTTTAATGTTCCTTTTACCTGAGCCTTCAGTTCTAGATTCAAATAATCGGCGGCCACTCTATTCACTGCAAGGCCTTCTTCTGCCATCAGATCAGATAAAGAACGTGTGTCTCTGTCAAACATTTCAGAGTTCACTCAGGACGTCTGGGCACTATGCCCACCAGTCTAGCTCATGCTTGTACTGGATTGCAGTTGGATTGGATCCAGTGCTGGCTGGATGGTGAAAGCTCAGATAACGGCGAGCCCAAAAGTCTGCTGTCCTCAACTTCCCCCTTCTCAGAACTGTTGCTAAAGCCACAATTTTTTTTACACATGGCTGTGTGCTACAGGAAGAAAATGAACACAAGGGGTCTTAGGGAGTCTCTATGTAGAATAAATGTTTCTGTTTTTTCTTCATTTCGCAAGAGTGCTTGAGATGTTCAGATGAAACGAACTCCTTCATACCTTGAAAATTTCCAGGGTAAGCTATGAAAAATAGCTTTTTTACTTTACTGGCCACTTTAACTGCAGATAAACTGCAGATAACTGCAGATAGTATATCCCACATTACTTGTCTGGCTTGTAATTCTGTCCACCACAGCACAGAGGAATGGAGAGATCCCAGCTGTAGAAGGGACTGGGGAGATCCGACTTCAGTATAGAACAAATAAAACAATTTCCTGCAGCTAAACCCTCCGCTTTCTCACTTATAAACAACATATATTGCTTAGAAATGCACACAGTCTTGAAGGCAGGCACATAATATCTGCATCCTCTTTGAAGCTACTGTTTCACACATGACTGATTCTGCTCTTTTAAGCATGTTCAGTTTAGAGTCGTTCTTATCATTATCTCTTTTCATATCTGGCACCATGCAAGATTCACTAAAGCCACTGTCTAGTGACTTTCAAGCCACACACTGTCATGATCACTAGAATGGAATAGTTGCCTCCTTTCTCATCTGACATGTTTTACCTTTGATTTCAGTCCCTAAACAGGCAGAGAGAGCAGTGTGTTGGCTAATCTGAGATAAGTTTTGCTTTAGCCAATGGAGTCGGGAGATTAGTTTCCAGTAGGTAGGAGGAATTTCAGAGAGACTGTTCACTTGAACAAAGCACAGATTTCAGCTAAATCTGAGCAAAAGGAAGAAAGAGGATTTGTAATAATCAAGATGCTCATAATAAGAAGCAAGAAATACAAAGCCAAGAGAAAGAAAAGTACGACGAGATATTTAGATATCTATATATTCTAAACAATGAGATGTGTAAGAAACGTGGTAAGCTGGCTGTGGAGGAGCAATTATAGAGATACCAGTCAGAAACAAGCATCTCACTTGACATGCTGAGTTAACTTGTCACAGCTTGTAAAAAGCTAAGTGATTTTCCCTCTGACTTTATCAGGCTGTTTTGGTTTAACCCCAGTTGGCAACTAAGCACCACACAGCCACTCGCTCACCCTCCTCCTGCCAGGGGGATGGGGGAGAGAATTGGGGGAAAAAAAAGTAAACCCCGTGGGCTGAGATAAAAGCAGTTTAATAGGACAGCAGAGGAAGAGGAAATAATAATAATAATAATAATAATAATGATAACAATGATGATGATAATAATAATAATAATAATAGAATATATAAAACAGGCGATGCACAATGCAATTGCTCACCACCCGCTGACCGATGCCCAGCCCATCCCTGAGCAGCAATCGCTGCCCCCTGGCCAACTCTCTCCAGTTTATATACTGAGCATGACGCTATATGGCATGGAATAGCCCCTTGGCCAGTCTGGGTCAGCTGTCCTGGCTGTGCCCCATCCCAGCTTCTTGTGCACCTGGCAGAGCATGAGAAGCTGAAAAGCCCTTGACCAGTGTAAACACTACTTAGCAACAACTAAAACACCAGTGTGTTATCAACATTGTTCTCACACTAAATCCAAAACACAGCACTATACCAGCTACCAGGAAGAAAATTAACTCTATCCCAGCCAAAACGAGGACACAGGCAGAAGGTCACTAGTGCTTATTGGAAAGTAAGGCCTCAAATGGCAAAATACAGGATTTATGGTTTGCTAAAGCAAGGTATGGCAGGTCTCTGTAGAACCAATCTGTGAAGTAGCAGGTACAGTGAATTCAGCGCATATCTGCAAACAACAGGCAATTCAGTTATGTCTGGAAAAGGAAAAAAAAGTTTTTTCTCCTGCTACTGCAAAACCAGAAGAAAAACTACAAGCAAAGTTACACTGAATCACAGCACCAGCCCACTGCAAGAAAACAAGACCATGCTTATACAGAGACTTCATTTGCACAAATTTTGATTCCAAAGAACATTCTCTTAAGCAGGTATTTGAAACTGTGGAAAAGTAACTACTGGCAACGGGAATTCATACTTTGCTATTCACATCTCTAAAGAAGTGTTTCTGCAAAGATGTCTTTGGCCGCACATGAGAGATGCTGTCACTCTTGTGATTATCTCTCCGTGATCTTTCTTCTTGTTTGGATGAAGATGCTGTCTCTCGCAGAATAGCTTCTGCAACCTAATGGAGAATATGTTATAAATATATAATTTTACGTTCAAGTCACAACTAGTAGAATCAAACAACCCTCAAAGCCATCTGGCTTTCTGTTGTAATAAAAATGATGATATTTAAATACAATGAATGAAATTGCACATCTTGTTCTGCTAAGGACTGAAACTCCCCAGTATCAGACACAACAATCTTTGTATATGGCATCCTAGCATCTTTATATACAGCATCCTAATATTACTCTCACACAACAAAAATCTTCAGTGGCTTGAGCAGTAGTTCTACATCACCAAATGTCCCAAAGCAGTAAAAATAATACAGAAATCTGGCTACAACAGAAGTCAATTAGCTTTTTATTATCCTTGCTTTTATTGGAATTTTTATATTTTTTCATTCTGTACGCGTGCCTCTAATCTTTTTTTCTGACCTTCACAATCTATAAAAGGATGAGTCATATGAACAGGTACGGTTGGGAAATTTAAAAATAAAGTGAAATGTAACTTGAAATGACATTTTCAATGGAACTTAATAGTGTTAGGTGAAAAATCTCATTAACAAGTACATTAAAATCAAATAAAAAGAGAGATCAAAACTTCTTCACTCCATAAAGCAAAGTAAATGGCTCAATTTTATTTTCTCCTAGGTTCAGCCACTCTGTGGAAGAGTAGGATTCATCTCGCCAGACTGCACTATCTAGAAAATAATTATCTGTTCTAGTTGCCTTGACACACACAGGATGAAATTGATCCCTCTTTAAAGGCACGTATTTTTCTCCCTTGAATACACAGGGAGATGAAATGACCCACTCAAACCAGACTTCTGCCTTTTGAATTCTAGTCTGAACCATTTAATTTCACCAAGACTTGCTGTCCTCTGTGTCAGAAGTGGCTAACAGCATTCTTCTCCCTTCCTTTAACTCCCTTAAATGAAGTTACTGAGTTATATAGTAAGGTAGCAAGTAACCCTACAAGTATATTAAACAAATGGGATACTGAATGAGAAAGGGCAATAGAATCTGTTAAACTATGATTAAACCTCTCTGATTTCAGGAGATCACCAGAGACATTGACACTAGCCACCTACATTTTCCACCCTGATTGTCTTTCCTGCTGCACCCCAGTGTAACTCCCATTCATGAGTCCAACATGTGCCTTTGTAAGGCAGGCCACTGACAGTGTTTTCCTTCCAGAAAGTTTACAGCACAAAATAAGAACTGAAATGAGATTTAATAAAAGGTCCCACTGTATCTATTGCCAGAAACCAGCCTGCATCTGGCTGAAGAGCTGTTTTATTAAAAAGGTAAATGGCATTATATACATAAATACTAGAATTAATTTCAGGAGACTTTTGTTGTCCAATTTAGGCACTGAATGTAAATTAGTTATCTGAACTCCCTCCCTAGTAAAGTGAGGGGAGCCATCTGCCCTGATACAAGTGTCTAAGATAGGCTGGCTGAATCACCTTGTAGAGGTACCCACCTCATGGATAGCTAAGGCTAAGTGGATCACACAAAGAGTATATTTAACATGGCTTACTACAGAGCTGTTTTTCCCCGCTTCAGGCTAAGCATGGCAGGAATGGAGGAACAGTATTCACACATGCCCGCTTCAAAGAAAAACTACACCTGAATTTTTCAGACACTATTAAACAGTTAATGTCTTGCAGTACCGGAGGCTCCGATTTTCTGTCTATGAAATTCACAGCTTCTGGGTTTTTTTCTGCTTTCCATCTCTGATGTTCTGAAACTCTGAGCTCATCTCGAAGCTCCATGTTCTGCCTGATCAGCATCTCAACCTGGTCTCTCAGCTTGCTGTAGGCAGCATGCCAGCAGGACTCATTTCTCTTGAACTTCTCCTGCAGTCTCACAATCTGCTGTTTTAATATCTACCAGTAGAAAAACAGTGTGCCATGTCATTGCCTGCTCTGAACTAGGCATGCCCACCTTATACACCCAGAACAAAGCATGGAGTCTTTTGTTCTGCTTAAAGGTCTACAGTATAAAGGTCTTCAATATAAAGGTCTGCAATATAAAAAGAACACATTTGAAATGATTTCTTAAAAAAAAACACTCAAAACCAAACAAAAAACCCACTACCCTGCAAACTCCTGTATTTAAAACAAACCAATTGTTACAAAGCGAGCAGAGAGAAGTCCTTGCTATGTGAAGGAAAAATCAGGAAATGCAAACTAATCATGCAAACAAACACCATTAAATGTGGGTGTTTTCAAAAAAAGGTGAGCATACAAGGAGTATTTTAATGGCAAAAATGTCAGTTCATCAGGTCTTGATGTAGTGACAAGGGCATGTGATCAGTTAAATGGTCCTTACAAACAGCAGGGGATCGCAAAGACATAATTTTCAACTGAGTTCAGGAAAATGAAAGTAAAAATTTGGTGCATTTTGGAGAGGACTTTTCCGTATACATGCATCTCCATTATTTTTCCCTACTCTCTTCTGCTTCTTTCACTTATGCTGATGCCAACACTGAGGCCTCTTCCTTCAAAGCCCTCATGCTGGATACTGCAAATGTAATGTTCGTGGAGTTAAGCTAGAAATGTGCAGTCTGCTCTGTAGTCAACCAATCATCGTCACGTGCAACCCTTTCCTACTTTCCCTTCACTCGTGTGCCTGCCCACTTGTGTCCGCATCACCATCCTTTCTTTGCTGTGAGCTGCCTGGCCAGAATTTGGCACATCCATTGACCATTTTCAAAAAGAAGCGGACTTCTGAACTTGGGAATCACACAGATAAGTCTCTCAGAAAATGTTTTGTAATTGTTTCGTGGAAAACTAACTTTTCGAACCTGCAGTCATTGTGTTATCAGGTGGGAACAAAACATGAAAACAATTCTATCAAACTTCATCTCTAGGGCTAGACCTAGTCAGGAAACACAATTATTCCCTGGCAGAAATTCTAACAATTTTTTTTAAATCCCAGGTGGAAATAAAGCTGATGTTTCAAAATATTGTGCAGAGAGGATATTTAAAATATTTTTATTAAAAATACAAAAATAACTTCACTGAAACAGTTAATCCTTTCCTGTTGTAAATGTTACCTCTAGAGAAACATGGAACATCAGCAAAGAAAATATTCAGTATGTGTATGGTACAAAAACATGTATTTCAAAAATGTACAAATGAAAAATAAAGAAAGTAGAGAAAGTTTGAACAAAGTACTATCTTGCCAGTTTCATTTGTTCTGAAACTCTTCTGGTCAAGAAAATTGTTGAAATTGTCAGTTTGCTGTCAAATATATCAGTTTGGTTTAGACATCCTTTTGCAGCAGAACATTGTTCCAGACATTTCTGAGTATTACCATGGCCTACTCTTTTATTCTATAAAAATATAGCTTTTAGCTGCCCCTGTCTCCTTTATCACTGTCTCACATGGCTCACCAATTTTTTCTTCTCTTTATCAGTGACTCTTGTAGAAAATGACTTAGTCATATTATGTCTAGCTATTTTTAATAGGGATAATAGCCACAGATATTCAGAAATTACTTTATCACTAAGGAGGCTGAAATAGAGGATTCAAGCAGATAGAATCCCCTAAAGGAACTTAGAAGAAACCACAATAAATGACTCAGGAATGTTATTAGGCATGTTAGGTTGTTAGATACACAGCCAAATATCATCAAGATACCTCAAACCGAAAGGTCAAGATAGTTTAAACAAAAAAATCAACAAACTCCCAGCTCAGGGATGAGAATAGAGAATGATGGCAAATAACCCTGTGCTACTGGCACAATGGTTCTTTATATCAAAAAGATGTAAAGCCCACTATGGCAGGAGCTGGAAATTTTTCAAGAGCCAGCTCAAATCTGGGAAAACCAGTACAAGGAAGTATAAGGAGCATGGGAACCTCAAAACCCTTATGAAACAGAAGACACAACCTATTTTTTTTCTTATATAAGGGAAGTTATATGTACATTTAAAACAAAGCAAAGCAATGTCCTATTAACATGAAAAATCTTCACTGTACACACAACTGTCCTCAAGAAATAGCATGAATAATTGGTCATCTGTGACAAATGGAAGGATTCAGGTACTACCATAAGATGCCTATGTGGAAGCATATTAATTGATGAGAATGGCGTATTTATTCTACTGAGGACAGCTTACTTGTATTTCTTCTGATGTCCCATTTTCTCCAATGATGCTATCTGTTCCTTTGAACTTGCTATGGGCAATTTTTTCTTTCTGCAGTGGGTGAATTTGGTCTGTATTGTATTGCACAGGGTGAGTCATCTCCTGGCTCCTGACAGTCTTGAGCTGGTCCATTTGTGTTCTGTTCAGAAGGTAAACAAAGAGTATGAAGTTGGCATAAAGACTATAACAAAGGACTGTCTTTAGATGCACCGTCTTTGGGCACGATTTTTGGAGGGCTTGGGCATGTCCCGTATATGCTGATACTGCTGGGAGTAGCAACAAGTTATCAGCACTTGTCAAAATTGAGGTCCTTCCTCATGGGGAACACTCATGCATATGTTCAGTTGCAAAATTGGGCAGATGGAACAATTCTCATTGAAATTTTCTGACAATATGTAATGACCATGGACTTAGAGGCTTTTAAACACATTTTCTGTTCAGAGAGATAGCTAAATTAGGGCAGACCTGCAGAAGGCACAGCTTGCTCCCTGGCATTGCACCTGTGAAGCACTTCATCGTGCAAGGCTGGGGACTGAATTGTATTTCCAGCAGCCCAGTCATTCCTACAAATGAGAACAACCATGGACCTGAATGAAAGGGGATAAAGTACTTTACTTTCCATAGGTAAATATACTCCAAGAGTTAAATGTGGGAGCTCAGCACCCAGATGAGATTTTTCCTTTGAACTCAATGTCTCAAGGACTGGTCTGGAAGTGCACTTAAAAACTCAGCAAGAGGGGAAGAATCTTTACATTATCCTCAAACGGAGTATGCTTGTATGACTATGATCCAGCTGCTTAGTTCATTTTTAATATGATATTAAATTATTTGTTAGGTTCCTGCTTCAGCTCACTTCATGACCTACAGCTACCATCTGGGCATTGCTATTACTCAAAAAGCAACAAGAGTTACAGCAGGCAGCCATGACCCCATGCTTTCCTCTCAGTAATGGAGTTTAGCACTTCAGCAGCCGAATATGAAAGTTCTCAAAGATACTAAGAGATAAATGAACTCCCCATATCCTCCTATTCTTTACAATTCATTACCTAATTTTTTATTTTTTGTTTGTTTTCTATCCTAAATAAACCTGTCTAATATTCTGGTTAAAGGTATGCTAAAAAAAATCTCATCAATGGTCAATAGAAGTATTAATTCTTCTCACATTAATACATTTAAATTAGCAAATATAGCCTCTGCGTGATTATGTCCAACCTACCACTACTCCGTATCCAGACCAGTTGCCCTGAAATACAATGTACTAGAACAAAAGCAAGATGCAAGATCTATATATAACATTGTCCACTGAAGACTGAACAGTACTGTCTTAAGTTTCTTGCATCCTGTAAAATAAAATCCAGGTAGCTATTCCTTCCAGTAGCTCATCTGATATCAACCTCTTCAGAATTGCACAGGAGTTACATCTGTACAAATAAACTAATCAGACCTGGAGCATGAACCCAAGCGTGCAATTGCCCAGAGTGCCATTTTGCTAGCATGACCTCTGGTCTTGGCATCAGCCATCCAGCACTGTACTAGGCAATGCTGGGCAAGGTTTGGAGGTTAGTGCAGGTCAGGGATCATGTTCAGCAGACAACTTGGATGCAGCCACCCTGGTCTGCAGGGTAAGACGGGTTAGTCATGTGGAGGTGTTATGCTGTGCCTCTTTGCCTCAAGGTTAGAAAACAGACCTTGGTCTGAGGAAATGTAATAATCAAGGACGCCAGGAGCACACATACTACTTCTTCGGAGCCTCAAACAATCAGTTCATGCCCTAGCTGTAAGTTGCAAATGGGAGCTCAGTGCACATCACAGACATATAGAAAAAAAGGCTAAGTACTTTGTGCTAACTCAAATTCTTGCACGAGTCCCAGGCATACGTCTGCATGAGGCACATCACAGCAGGCTGGCTGTGAGACAAAAACATACATGAAGCAAAGGGCTTTTTCCAAGAAAAAGCCTTTTAGTGAAATGCAGATGGGAAAAAAACCAAACCTGCTGGCTATTGCTCTTGGTGCAGAAAGAGTGCGGATTTAATACTACAAGGAAATTATGTATTAAAAATGGCAAACAAGTTGTCCTTGTTGAAGGAACAAAGAAATGACCATCATTGAATCCTCTGATGATGATGAGTGACTACCTCAGTGCTGCAAGGGTGGAGCCACAGGCTGCTGCCTTGAGCACTCTCCAGGCTCTGTTAGGCACCAGATGCACACAACGCACTACATCCCAACTGTTTTCACCCTCTTGCCTATATTATTTGTGCCTGCAAAGGTCTAAAAACAAAGTGCTTGGAAACGAAAGAATGGATAGACTGGGCAGGTCCAGGCATGTCGTGCTGCTCTCAAAAGGATTTTCATTGCTTCCAGCAAGCACAAGTTGTCAACATGGCACAAGTGAAACGCTATCAATGTAGTGGCCATCTTGTGTTCCTAGTAGGCTTACTGGTTTAAAAATACGAAGCAGATTCTCAGATTGCATAAATCAGCACAGGGCCAATGCAGTCAAGGAGGAGAAGCTGCCTTTCGCAATTAGTTTTAGCTCATAAATTACAAAAAGTGAGTGAAAAGATGCACACGTCGTACTAGGCAGGTATTTTTGGATAAACATCTGTGTGAAAATGCTAGGGACTACTATGGCTAATGACATGAATAAATCCACAGAAATCTCTTTTAAAAACCTGCGCTATTATGAAAAAATGAAAGCGATGTCATCTGTGAAGCAGCGCTGTCAGCAGGCAGAGAATGCAATGCCAGCAGAGAGTGCACTGCAGTAACTCTGCACCAATACCTCCCTCCACAGCCAAAATTTACACCAGGAAAAGTAAAAGCAGCACCTAATTTCCTTAATAGTTTTATGAACTGCCAAATCCCACAAATATTCACATCTGGAACACCTATCACAGTCAGCTGGCAATCACCTTCCAGTACGTTTGCAAGATCACAAACAAGAAGGATCTTTAATGAAATAATTTCTTTTTAAGATATTGAAAGTATTTTGCTAAAAGACAGTTATAGGAGGAAATCATTCAAACTGATAAATTTAATTCAGAAATATCCTTTGGCACTAATCCCATGGTCTTTGAAATCAAAAGGAATGTACAAGCAAGTGTGGAAAAATAATTTCTTAGTTTGCATTATATATTAAAAATCCAAAACAATAAATTCTGCTTATTTGGCACTAGTTAAGAACTCGGCTTGAAATGTAAAAAGGAAAATAATCTCTCCTGTTTTTGCAGTAGATGGTACCTAGTAAATTCTAACAGATTTCATCACATCAAAAAGTATACATTTGATTTGATTGTAAGCGTGCTAAATTTTCATTAGAAGCATTTGCATAACCTATAATTAGTTACAGTGGTGATGGCACTTCCATTCCAAATCCCATAGTTTCAAAACTTATTTCCTGCAGGGATTTTGTGGTAAGGAATTATTTCACTTCTATGAAGATGTAAAACAAAACAAACCTAAGTCCATTTTCAGTATTTAATAATTGCAAATTACAAAAGCAACTCTTGAATTTTCCAGTTCTTCATCTATATGGTACCAAATGCGTCCTCAGTCCAGTCTGAAGATAAGTATTTCTGAAATAACAATGCCGTTGACATTGACATATGCTATGCACTTCTTGTTAACTTTGGAAATATGGGCTACCCTGATGTGAATGTGATATGAGAAGTTTATCCTTTACTCCATCAGAGGCGTGGTCTCATAAAATAAATTATCCTGAGTTCTTACTGATTTCAGTGTAATCTGAAGGTGTTCAGCAACTTATAAAAAGCATTTGGCATTACTCAGCTTTAAAATCCAAACTGCACCAGTGTTTTCAGAGTTGGCCCCCTTCAGTTAGGCACTTTACTTTTTATCTAGACAGCTAAATAAGTGTTCCAGTTCTCAAACAAAATAGACGCAGCTGAAAAGAGGCTAGCTAATAAGTATGAATTTAGCAGCCCGACTTTAAGGATCCCAAAGGAAATATTTGCCTTACTGCGTATGAAAATTAATTTCTGGTGTATACAGATTTACCTGCAAAAATGCATTGCTTTCTCTTGTTCTTTCATCCTAGTCAGTGAAGGGGTTCCTCCGTGATATACACCAGTCTCTAATCCTCTGGTAAGGATGCTCTGGGTTTCTTCTATAACAACATCTATGTTAGTACACAGAACTTTGTGAATATTTATGAAGCCTCTCTTATGTATTGAAAACCACAGACTGCATAAGTGCAGTAAGCTTTATTGCTTAATCTATCAAACAGAATTAATGTATCTTTGCCTAATTATGCAAGTATTCCATTCCCAGCATGATTCTTAGTAGTGCAAATCAAGCCCTACAACTCACAATAAGTGAAATGGATTTGGAGATATATCAGTGTCAGTAGCTGAATTCCTTTTCGGGAATGTGAATGTCACATGATATTTCAACCTTATTTTGAATGTAACTTTCAAAGAGGCCTCAGGAACCCTTTTTAAACAGCAGACTGACATGGAATAGAGTGTGCTTAGCAAGTTGTGACAGAACAATTGAGAGCGCCATCAGAAGTTAATATTTCTGCCCTGGCGATTACTGCAGGTAGGACAACTGATTCTGACTGATCCTACACAAAGAGACAGCCAATGGTTTTGGGATAAGGAGTCAATGTGGGGGAAGTCCTTCAGTGGAAACTAAGAAAGAAGAAAAGACGAGAACCAGTTTAATGAAAAGGACTAAATCCTGCTCAAGCAGGATACCATTTCATTGCCAGAAGTAAGATCATTGGGCCAAAAAGCTAGAAATATTGGTTGACCAAAGAACTGGGGCCGCATTCAGGACAAACTGAGTGAAGATGTTCTTAGGAAATCATCATTTTCCACTGATGTGAGGCTCTGTGTCTTAGGAACAAAACGTGCAAATTTGAGAAATTATTTTCCCCACCTTTTTTAAAGTCATGTTATCTCTGAGGAGGGTAAATAGAAAATGTGAACATCTCACTGTCAAGGAGTCAGTGGGAGGAATATACCTAAGCTACTACTCTAGCAATGACTCCAGGGGCTCACTGAACCTCTCACCTGTCTTGTGGGTTCAAAAGTCTGCACCTGAAAGTACACCTCAAGCAACAGACTTAGGACAAATGGCTAGTGATGATGGAGAGCCAAACATAAGGGGCTTGCAGATATATCTCTCCTCTCTTCTCTTTTTTTCCCAGTTCAGGACTGAGAAATATTGACAGAGGTGGGCATATACCTAGGGAGCACATACAGAATGAGTCATAGAGCCAAGAGAAATTTTTTTCCCCCGTGGAAAATAAATGTAAATCAAAACTCGGGTAGCTCTTACCTAATGTGTCTGTAAACAGTTTTTTCTGTGGTTCCTCCACTGCAGGGGTTTCTTTAATCTTGAAAGCAGGAATTGCACCGGCCACTGTTGAGGATAGTAGATCTAGGCTTTTAACATCCCTGGGCCTATTCTCATTTTTTGATTCACGTTCATGCTCTCTCCTTTTTGATCTTGTGAGATGAAGTAGGGACTGCTGAAGAGAAGACTGAGCCTTGCTCCCTTTCAGCCTGACAGCCTCAGTACTGGAATCGCTGCTGCTTTTACTGCAGGAGAGACCTCGTTGTCTTGAGATCGCTTGAATATCTTGTTTCCTTGGGGGTGATTTGCTGTATTTTTTAACAGACATTTTTTCAGTTCCACTGGGCTCATCACTAGCATAATCACCATCAGAGAGATCCAAATGTCCATCAGTATCATCTACTCCCTGAGGCCCATGCTGGGAGGGATACTGAGCATGGTGAGATCTGGGGTCATCATCACTGTTGGAGGATAAGCAGCTTGACTCACAGGACAAAGATGCGATGTGCCACGTTGAGGCAGCTGTTCCCTTCCTTTGCCACTCCTGCTGCAAGGCTGAGGATGAGCTTCCCTTCTGTACAGCCTCAGGTGAGCTATGTGTAATTTTTACTATCTTATCATTGACCATCTTAAACCCAGTATGGAGTTGTCTTTTGCTTTCTGAGCTCTGGCTCCCCGAAACAAGTTTCTGTGGGTGTACCTGAATCCACTTCTGGCCCTGCGTGAATGCAGGGCCTGCACTCCACTCTGCCTCCTTGATGCAGTCTGTTTCTAAATCCTTAAGTGACTGCACATGAGGAAAAAAGCAGAACAGTATTACTGTACTTGGCCCTTGTACAAAAGCTGTATTTGGAAATGCCCCCATTCTCACATTAGTAGCACATGAGAGACTGCATGGACCGTTTATTATGAAATAAACTAACAGAATCAACCTTGAGGTCTAATTTAGCTAAGTATGTTGAGACTCAGGTGCAAACTATGACCCAGAAAGTATGTGGAAAGAGAAGAATCCAGTGGGAAACATTGGGCGATATGACTGTGACTGAGTAATACAGTTTTTTTTACTTTTGGAAAAAATCTTCCAATATCACATGAAAGAACAGTGGAAAAATGTGCTGCCATGCAGTGTGCTAAAACAGAGCCCACACAATACCCAAGTCCATGAGAACTTGTCAAAAACAAAGTGAATGCACTAATGGCACAGTACCTGCTGCTCCTTCTGCTGTTTTGCTATGAGATGATTGTCTACTTTAAGTTGTTCTTCAACAAATTCTTCAGAAGGCTGCTGTATAATACCAATTGCTGGTGTGATTGGCCTAGACAAAGAACAGGAAGGAACTTATTTGTAAGGTTCTCCAACTAATTTTCTTTTGATAATTCTCATGGAACTGATGTTGAGTTTAGAACTGAAAAGTTCTCTCCATTTTTTTCAGGCATTTTCTCCAGACTAGAGCTGGTTACAGTCACAAAGAACTCACTGTCTCTCTGACAGAGTAGTTTGAATTAGCTGGTGAAGAGTGATAGAGGAGAAAAATAATGTCTATAATGTTGTGGAAGGACAAACTGAACGCTGACTCAAAATGAAGCACACTACAGCATACATGAACATAACTTATTTCATTGGGAATGTGCTTAGAGCCTTAATTTAGGGACTTACTAATAATTTCTACTGAATATTAAAAAATCCTGGGTTGAATAGAGGTACTGGTAACACAGCACATTACTGTTCTTTCTATACCCCACCTCCACCTAACACCACTGTACCATGGATAATCTCTGTTTGTCAGTCTGGCTCTGTCTATTAGCACACAGCATAGCCTAATAGGATTAGATTTGTAGAGCAAAACTGTTGTTGCTGAGGACTCAGCATTAGACAATACGCCTTTCAGGGAATTTTACTTCAAACCAACTATAGCCTGATCCCATAGCGAAAACATCACAAGGAGTTGGAGTACGTTCTGTGCTTTAGTTTCATCCAGCTCATGCTAAGACCACAATGTGAACCAAAGCACAGCAAGTGGGGGTGATTGGGAGACAAACTTCAGAAGCTCACTGCTGATCCAAAAAGGCATATGTGGACATGCCCACTTGCACAGAGGTGCTTATGGTCCCTCCACCTCTTCCCAGCCTTCTGCTCTGGACGTCCCTGTCTTCCTTCTCTGCCCAACTCCCACATGGTTAACGCACTAAAACACACTCATGACAATTACTCTTAGTCTGTACTTGCCTAGAAGTTCGCTGCTTCGCTTTTATACTTGATGGAAGGCTCAGTGTGCCAAAAAGCTGCTGCTTCTATCTGCAACAGCTGAGGAAAGGTAACAACTCCACAAGCATTTCTTCAATCACTAATGCCAACCTAACCATTCTTGCCTAGCCATGAGCACCCCCTCAGTGTGCTGGTACAACTCCTTTTAAAATGCAGTGATGAACCAGATCAGAGAACTGATCCAAGTTAAAAGTTACATTTCTCCTCTCTCCAGATAATTTTAACAAGGATTACTTCACTGACCTGTTCACTATATAGGCACATAAAAATTGATCTTGGCACAGTTGAAGAAGCAGAGCAAGGACAAGAATGAATAAGCTACTCAGACTGATGCTGCTGTCACAAACTGATGGCCACTGCAGGAGAAATGATGGCATAATAAAAGGTGTTATCTCTCCCTGCCAACTTTTGCCTTAATTCTGTCCTTTGAAGGTCATAGTTGCAAAACCAGTTTATTTGAATTGGCTAAGCCAGCATCCTATTATACAGAAGTAGATCAACTGCCAGTCCCTAGACCTGTCCAATCTCTGCCCATGCGTACCTGCCACTCTAAAGAAAGGAAAGAGCCTTTGTATTGCAAATATAACACATACAGTATGTATACAATCAAGGAAAACATGCTTTTGTAGCTTGACTGACTGATTAAGATAATTTCTCACCTGCCTTCTATGTTTCCAGTCTTCATCTTCCCCTCTATGCCAAAGGGAGATGGAGGAATCTCCTCCTTTACTTGTTCTCTTTGTTCTTCTTTGACAGCAGAAAAACTTTCAGGGAAATTCTTTTCTTTTGATTGACTGTTATCTAAGCAGCAGGAAAAAGGTCAATGAAAACAAAGCCTTATAGAATGAATAAATTAAAAATAAACATCATAAAATAAATTAGAAATGTTTATATTTTCAATAACATATGCAAGATTTTGATTTTTGAAAACACTTCATAGAATATAATTGAATTAAGTAGGTGGAAGGATGCAACCCATGAAAAAAAGAGGCTCCTGATCCTCAAGTCTAGTTGCTGGAAATAAGCAAAGGGCAAATGGTATGATTTGTACTCCTTGCCTCTAGAGATTTGTAATGCTTGGTTAATGTGTTTGCTGCAGAACATTGCAGTGGAGACACTTTGCTAGACAGTACTGAACTACTCATGTGTCTGTAATTATGTGACTTGCAAGCCAGTTCATTAAACAGTTTCACAAGCAGTATTTGTACACAAGAGACTTTCTAACTGGGCATTTTCTATTCTATTTCACAAAAGTGCAAATTTGTACATCTTCCTATTGAAGCTTACTGGCTATGTTCACTACAACAAGAAGGCTCCCACTTCAATTAATCTTTTTTCTAAGTGTCAGCTAGTGGAGACTCGCTCCTTTAGCTCAAGTTAGGCCTGTCAACTGGAGCAAAAAGCCTTTAATGGCTCATTCATACTACACACTGTTGCTGTAGCCAGGAACTATACAGCTCACTTCATCACATTAATGCACCCAGAGCTACTGAAGCCCTTTGCAACATACTGAAAGGACTTTCTGATCCAAAAACAGGAATACAAAAGCTTTACATCCTTCCCTCAGCCCTTCCCAGCTACACACCAAAAATCTCCAGTCCGACGGCAGACAAGCAGTGCTGTTTCTGCAACCTTCTCACCTGCCTTGCACCAGAATACGGCTGAGGAGGCAGAGGTGACACAGCAGGTTGTTGGCAGCAAGGGACACAGAACCCATGTGTCCCTCCTCACAGTCTCATGTGTGGGGCTATGCTGTCTTCAGAATGCTCTAACAGGAGAGGTGCCCCAGCACTGTAATTTTCAACTAGTGCTTCCCAGTGCAAGGCAAGAACAATGTGTCCAAGCAGCTGTTTAATTCACCTTTGTTTTCTTTTCTGTTCTCTTCTTGAGCATCTTTCCTGGAAAGTTTTTTTGTCAGGCTCTCGGTACACTGAAGCAATGGCTCGGTGCTTATCCCTTTAAATAAGAATGTGAAGTGTTATACAAGCTGTTGGTACACTCATGTTTATGTTTCCAGCAGTAAAAACCCACACTTGTCACAACAGTCAGGAAGGTCTCAGTTCAGCCCGGTCCTCAAGCACACATTCAGCTGAAGCATATTTCAAAGGCAACTGCACTGACCAGCTTCCAGTCAGGAGTGAACCTGATGTACTAAGGCCTCTGCACCTTCAAGCCTTAGATTTACACACGCAAAGCAGGTCTAAGTCAGCGCTGCTGTCAAAAAAAGCAGTCATACCTCCTCCTGTCCTAATGTGTTCTTGCTCTCAGGTTCCTGCTGTCCTCATGCACACCTCCCCTCCCACCCCATTTGTGCTGGCAGAAGTATTTCTGAAGCTCTGTGATAAACTTCACTGGGCAACTGACCCAGGTTGAGGTTAACTCAGCAAGAAAATAATAGCACCAGGCACAAGGAGACAAGACTCTTTCAGTGAGAGTACTGGTCCTGAGCTAGCTTGAAGAACATCAAATTAAAGTTTCAATTGTACTACAGGACTGTCTCACAGCATCACAGTCAGGTCTTGCTATAAAAGTTCAAAGGAATCCAGGATGCAGGTCTGATTTACATCCTCTTCCCCTTTAAGTGGATTCAGTCTTGCTTCTTTTTGTTCCTCTTCCCCCCATTTTGAAATTAACTTTTGATTTCTTGCAAATTGCTCTTTCTTTTTCTCACCTTTTGTTATCTTCCCACAGAAGACAAGGCTGGCAAAGTGTAGCAAAGAGAAGACACCAAGTAGCAGCTTGCATTGTTTTTCCTCCAAACGATGTGACTCCATATCAGTGTGAGAAACATCAAGATTGCTGACGAAGAGCAGGCCTTCTTAGCTAAAGAAACACATTCTCTCGCCTTTGGAAGCTATATCCACTTCCTACTTTTTATGCTTCTCCCCCTAAATATACTTCCTACTTCGTATAACTTAGCTTTTCCTATTTAATGACTTTCTGCTCCATTTATATCTACAAGGCCCAATTCTCTGTCACTATGAGAGGCAGGATGACTGTGATTCAAAAAGTAAAAAAATCAAGTTTAAAATACTTTAAAAACTTTTATAACAAGCCACCATAAAAACAACTCACCTTCCCCTGACCTGCAATAGAATCAGCAACCAACACTAGCAAGGGCAAAAATTCACGGGATTTGCACAATAGCCTTAGCTTCAGATTTCCAGCACTTTTTACTCACCTGAATCTGAAAGCTGCACGTGCTCTCCTGAGATTGCTGAACTGCTCTCGTTTGGCGGGGATCTGCTTTGCCAAGCAGAGCACATTGCCAAGGGAGAGGTCTGTAAGCACTCTGGGCTCTCAACTTGGGAAGAATTTTCTGATGGGAACTGGACAGGAATGAAAGTAGCTGGAAAGCGCGGAAGGGGTGGCATCATGGCTACTAGGTGGGAAGGTATCCCAGGAGAAACAGAAAAGCCTAAAAAATAATTACCAGAGAAGAAAAATTAGAGAAGCTTAAGACAAATATTTTGCACCAAACTAGAAATCTCTTGCTAAACTGGTGTTGCACGAAACCAATGTTGCTTTCATGTTCCCTGGTGGTTTGCATGTTCGGAGTGAAATTATCAAATTCTGCTGTTGTTATTTTATTTAAATTGTAAAATGTGCTTGCTGCAACCATCACTCGTAACCAAAATTATCATATGCTACAGGGATACTGAATTAAAGAGAATTTACAAAGTACTCCTGAGCATGTAAAACACACATTTCCCCTAGGACTCCTTACGTCCCTTGGCAGGTAAAAGTTAAGTATTGCAAAGTATCTCTGAGGGACTCCTCAATGCAAAAGAGGGGAAGGTTCTCCTTTTAGCTCTGGATGGCTGGTTACACATTTTATTAGAAGACTTCCAAGTGGAAAAGACATAAGCAGTTCTGCACTGACCAGAGGCCAGGCTCACTACTTCCAGGAAAGAAACCCGTTTATAAGGTTAGAAAATGAGGCTCGCTTATTTTCTTTCTCCATACCATGATTCCTTTCTGTCCTGTGACCTGACCTCAACAAGAAGAATAGACAGTACCTGCGACTGAAATTGCTTCACCCCCTAGTTAAGGCATTTTTTGGAAGAAGGCTGATCTATGGATTCAGATCCTGTCTGGCACAGACTCAAAAAAAAAGCCCAACTTGCTATTTTCTGGACAGATGCTCTAACCACACAGCTAGCAGGTGGGCAGAGCCACTTCTGTCTGTGTTACCATGAGGCATTAAAATGACAACCTGTAGTTCAATGAGGTTTTGATTTTACTGTTGGTTGTTGTATTATTTCTTTAAATACATGGCAATATTAAGGTAACTACCTTTCTCATAAGACAAATCAGCCCTAGTAGTTCCTCATATTTTACCTCTTTAAAGCTTAATGAGACCAGATTATGCAATGTCTTTTGCTACCCTCAGCCTACACTGCCTCCACTAACAAATGAGGACTTTCAGTGCAGATTTTGGGCAGCTTTTCATTCAAGTAACCACTTTGTCTGTGGCTTTATATGTTAGCTAAATGTATGTGGATATGTAAATACACCCAAACAATACCCTATAAATATATTTCTTACTGTATGAGCTTGATCTTCAGTTCAGGATACTAACTGTACTAGCTTTCTTCAGAAATGCGTCAAGTGGTTTACAGCTCTGGGGCAGGGGGAAGAGAAGTTTGCATGATGAAGCGCAGCAGGACCCAAGGCACTTTCCTTCTCACACTGTTCAGTCCTTCCTGAGAAACTGAAGAAAGTGGTGCAGCCAAATTGTTCTGCTCACAGTGAACCGGTGGCAGTAACAACAAGCATCTTGCTAATTGCAGGGATTAATGAGCAACATAATTGCTCTGTGGATGTTCTGCTTTGATCAGAAAACTTGGAAGCCACAGACTGTGTACTTGTTCAACCTGGTCATCACAGACAGATTGCTGAGCATTTGCCTGCCATTTCAAGCGGACTTTTCTCTGAGGCAAAAAGCACAGGATCACGAAGATTTCATTTACTCAGCCATAGTCTTCATTCTTTTTCTTTCTCGAGCTGTCTCCCTAGTGTACAGCAGTGGCTCTTGACAGCTATTTTGCAGTGGCATAGCTCCATCAGGAAAATCAGTACAATGACAGCCAGCCCTGCTGGTGTCACTGCTGGTGTGGCTTGGCTTCTGGATACAGGGTTGATGGTTGATATCCTGCTTACCCGCCCCAACCAAAAAAACTGATTGTCACACAGCATCAAGTTTGAAAACGAGACCTTCAGACAGATATGACACTGTGTTCTTTCTCAAGTTTCTTGTTGCCTTCAGTCTCATATTGCTTTGCACTGCTGGCATCATGGGGAAGCTCAGAAAGGTCCCCACAACACAAGCAGACAACCTAAGCTGCAGAAAGACAAGCTTTTGATGGTCACTGTGGGGGTAGTGTTTGGCCCTTGCTTCCTACCTGGTGCATATGCCCCAGTGTATGCCTACTGCTTGTGTACATGCTCTGCAGCTCTGACAGCCATAGCTTTTCAAATTGCTATTAACAGGTTCGATGTCAGTATCTGCTACACCCCAACAGTGCGATGGATCCAGATGTCCATTGTTTGTCCAGCCCAACTTTTTGTCATTCCTACGGAAGGTTCTCTGACCCCACGTGGCTGAGAGGGAATGAAGCAAAACCCTAGAGCTCAGATATTCTTAAAAGACACTGACGCTTGAAAGCAGCAGAGTCTATTTGGTATATTTATACAGATCTAAATATGCATGCATATACACATGTTTAAAAGACTGGGTTTTTTTATTTTTCCATTTCTGTTACACTGGGAGTAGAGGGAAGGTAAAAGCCTGTAAGCATTTTCCTGGCCAGTGTTGTTTAATTCCACTTCTCTAAACCCTTTTATTTTGTTGGCTAATAACTGCTATTATATACATTAGCGAGGTAGATGAAACTTGCTAAAATTTCAATTTCTTTTATGGCAGCAATAATGTAAGCTCATGTTTCCCTAAAGCCAACTAACAAGTGTCAACTCCCAGAGTTTCCAGGGCAGGGGGCAGGGGAAAGACAAGAGACCATAAATTCTTGGTGGTTTTATTATTGTCATTAACTCTGCCTAAAGTAATGCGTATTGTTTTGAGTGGACTTTTGCAAACAGATGTTCCTCATATGGCAACTGAAATAGAATTTTGATTATAAATTATTCTGTCCAAACTGGTCAAAGTAGGTGCGCTATGAAGTATTTTTATACATGCATTGACGGACAGCAGAAGACATGGCTGTCTTTAACTGAGAGGACTTCCTCATGCTATGTATAGTTAGAACATGGGAAGAAAGTTTTGAAAAAAAACATAGCTTTTCAGCTCTAAAAAGCTATTTATAAGACCCCATCAGGCTCCACTGAACTCTAGCATGCAAGGCGCCATCACCTAGTTCTCCTAACGATCCTCCGAGATGTTAGCAGAATGAGACTTTTGCAGCTCCTCAACTGGGCAAAGAAGCTTGAAATTTGACTGAGAAAACTGGTGCCAGATCAATGCACAGATGCAGGCAGGGGATGCCTTAGGCTGCTTAGGCTCCTACCACATAGGTCAGGTGAAGCTGCTTCCCCAGCAGGTTATCTGAGGAGCAGCAGAAATCCAAGGATCACCTGGCCTTCCTATGGGATACTCCCTACCTGATGTTACGCACAAGCAGCCCCAATAAAGCCAGGCCAATGGTGTCACAAGTTTACGTGATTTCCCTAAATTCTTCTTTCACTATGGGGTCAACATGC